ACGTTGATTTCTGATTTTTGTAAAGAACTATTTTAGTAATAAATTAGTGAGTATTTGTTTTTCTCAGTTTTGGTCATTTAACGCGTTAATCAGAATTTAGTTGTGAAAGCATTCAATAAGAATCTGAACATATGTGGTCGGGTTTGTATGTAGTGGTAGAATAGTCGGCATTATGTGTTGAGTGGGTCATTAGCTTGAACAAATTGGAAGCTGGTCTGGCAGGTACATTTTTGTAAATGTGATTTTGCTTATAAGGGGCACTGATATCATGAATTCTGGTTTGTCTCCAGTTAAAAGCAACTAATGAGATGGGTCTGATTGTGGACTTTAAGGCATGATCAAGATTTTTCGGAGCGTTACAGTATACTAGAAACAGAAGCAAAGAGAAGTGATGGTAAGACTTGATATCAACCGTACTTGGTCTTTGAGCGAAGTGCAGAAGCGCTTGTTAGTCTTCGGTAATTATTACTGGAAAAAATATCTAATCACAAAATGACTGATTAGAGACAAACTTGTGATCTTTAATTTACATTGTGGGTATAAAACAATGCTGGTCAGTAGAGACAGTAAAAATCAAGATTAAGGGATGAAAACAGAAGCGGAATAGAAGTAGAATGGATTTATTTTTACTGCTATTTTGCTTTTATTTAGGTTTGAATACCAGTAAGATCAGTTATCGAGCAACACGCGTGACTATCTCAAATATAAACAGACCACTTATTTCTAAATATGCGTGAAATGCTGGTAATTATGGAAGAAGATTGTTGAGTATTTCTGGCAAACCATTATATTTCTACACTGCGCTCAAGTGATGATTGATGGCTTGCTTTCCGGTACTAATAAGTTTGCAGTTTCCTTGAAAATTATCCGTTCTCGTTCACGCATTTAGCTTTTCTGTTATTTTTATTACTGCTTCGTAAGCATTTGAATTTACTTAGCTTACAAATTTTTAATTACTGCTTATTTTTACTGTCAATCAATCTAATTCATATTACTTAACTATGAGCTAAATTCAAATATGATTTGAAATTATATTATTTCGTCTAATTTTCTACTACTTTATTTGCTAACATTCATCGCTAATTATCTTGGATTCAAACACTAAAAAATATCCATGATTTATAATTTCCTTTTTCAAGTTTGAAAGATACGTATAGAAATTTATGAACTGCACTTATGTTTCTTAACATGTATTTCGATCGAAATGATTATTTTGCGTCATAATGGTTTTTTTTTTTTCAACACCATTTTTAAACAATTACTGACAACACTTACTACATTCAAAAAAGCAAATTGCCTATGCGATAAATATTTCTGATGCTTAGTTGAGCGAACCTTTCTGGACTTAACTAGTCAAGGCACCCCAGTTTTCATAAATGCTAGAGTTCTATTCATTTAAAGCCGCCATTCCATTTCTATTTCTACTCTCAAATGCCAGCTATACCTTCTCTCACTTTCACCATTTTATTATCATAGTTGATATTATCAGGCAGTTAATCACTACTGTCTACAATCATTTTTCATTTCAGACAAGCGTTCAGCAGTCTCTATAATTTAGAAGCTTCGAGTTACTAATAATGAGGCAGGCAATTTCATTAAATTTATTTCAAACTTTCCTGTACTCATTAACTTTTGAATAAAGCGCTTTTTGCCGTAGTTTCAATAAGCATAAAATTTTCTTTTTTATAAAAATTATGCCTACATTAACACAGAAGCTAACTGCTAGAATTTATTTATACAGAAATATAATAAAACTGGCATGACCACTGTAGACATTACTCACATATACACAAAAAAAAATATATAAATAGTAGCGTACAACGCCTATATAGATCTCAATATAGATGCTAACTTATTTAAAACTATTATATGAAAGTTGGGTTTGCAGTAGAGAACCACCAATGGCTCGCAATCGGCATACGGATGATATTTTAAATGTTAATGTGGGTGGTAAACGATACACAGTTCGACGAGCGGATTTACTGGCAGATCCAAAAAGTAAATTAGCAGATTGGTTCAAACCAGGAACTGTGAAACTGATTTCCACTGATAAAGGAGGTTCATATGCGTTAACTTGGTTTTTACGGTATTTTAATTATACTTGTACAGTTTTGATGTTATGCTGAAATCACTATAAGTAATTAGCGTATTTCAATATTGCTGTTTAGGTAATTATTATTTGGATCGTGATCCGAAATGTTTTCGACATATTCTTGCATATCTACGTTTAAAAAAGGAAAAATTTGTTCCATCACTGGCATTACCAGCAAAACCAGATGATCTGGCGAAGTAAGATTTTTTGAAAACATTCAAGCTTCAAATGATCTTTCTGACGCGTATTTCTATCCTAACACAATAATTTTTTGTTACGTTAAGATTGGTCGGTGAATGTGAAGCTTTAAATCTAAATGAGCTTAAAAATTTGGCTCTAGACGTGCTGCAAAAATATCAACGTACAGAAGAGCAGCATTATGTAACTAGTTACGTGCAAATTGCTCTTCGTGACTACGAAACGTGGCAGTTTGATCATGATCAAGTAACTTTCTTATTTTTCATTAATAGTATGATTTGAAAATTAAACAAATTTTCAGCACTTAACAATAAAATTAATAATAATATAACTAATAAACTTAGCTCTCTTGTAATAATACATTCTTCACAGTGAAATAAACTGCAGACTTCATTAATGAAGAAAAATAGAGGCGGAAGTACGGAAGAGACACCCACAATGGCATCAGCCTATGATGAATGGGATAACATGTGAATGTACGCAATCACTTTAATAACAGTAACCTTAGTGAAGCGCAAGTTGATAGTAACATACAATATTTTTTGTCTTTATTTTATACAGATTCTTATATATTATTTATCTATTTTGCATAATGTGAGATTAATAATCAATCAAGCATCTGATAAATATGTGACTGGCAACTTTTAAATCGTATAAAGATTTAAAATTCATTCTATTGACGCCAACAATGGAAGTAAATCGATGATAGCTTGCAGTAAAAGTGGCCAAAATGATTTGATTGAGAATGCTTTTTAACGCATCCTTTATTGTATTAAACTTTTATGTTAAACAGAAAAATTTTCTAGCATCTACAAATTCCGTTTTATGATTGTTAAACTCAGCATAAGTAATAGTTGATAATTAATGACAGGTAAAAGATGTAAGTTGTTTGCAAAGATGAAGCAAGTTAGATGTACCATATTTCTTACTTTGATAGAATCTGTCAAAGATGAACTAAGACTAACTTCTAAATGACCAGTTTACTGCAGCGTGTTATTATTTCAAATCAAATATTTATCCACTAATAACACAAGTGAAGAAGTTTCACAGTAAACAGCTGAGTACAAATATAATATTTAGCAAAATAAGAAATGCCTCCAAAATATTGAGCAAACTGTGTAGTACTGTGTAGATAAAACTAGTCTCGGAATAACAATAAATTTGCATGAGATTTAAACAAGGACTGAAATGCTGACCAAAATATCTTTTGTTTTCATTTTCACATTGCTACCATAAAGTGTGCACGTGGAAGATTACTCATTAAGTAGTTTGACCGAATTTCGATCTATTAAAGATATTTATGGGCATAAAAGTGTATTTTCGGTTGAATAAATTTGCAACAAGTGATGAGTATTTAAATTAAGTGAAATTATGATTTCAAACAAATACATCATATATCCATGCAATTATTTCACATTATCTTACCTTCATCATTTTAGTCAGTGAAAAAGCTGACGTTAGAAAGTCTTGAAGCCAGTAACAATTTACGAGTCTAGGCACAACGCAAAATCATTAACTGTGACAGTATTATGAACGGAAATATTATTCACTCATACAATTATTGTTGTAACTGATAATAGGATGAAGCAAAAGTAGCAAAGGAGTTAGAAAGTGAAGATGATTCAGACATTATCACTTCTAAACGAATGATTGCATAATAGAAATAAAGTAGTAGCAAATAATAAATATGAATGATTTGCTTTCAATTCAAAATGATCCCAACGATGAAAAAATTCAAAATGCAATTATTGTTTTCATTTATTTGTAATTTCAAACAGAGATGTTATAAAATGGCGTACTAGACGCACTCGATGTAAAAAGTTCCATGATATCGTATCCAATTTGTAGATAACAGAAAACCACATAAGGAACAAGCAAATTACGGCATTACTATATTACCTTGGGATACACTTTGATTTTGGAATGATCTACAACGGCAAAAATAGAATGTCAGAAATAAGAAAGCATATCAAAACAAAAACACAAAGAACAAAATTGAGATTAGTGAAGTGTAAGATTCAAGATGAGTTCAAATCAAACCTGATATTGAAAGAAGTAAAGTTAGATTTCAAGACATAATAAAAGAAGATATTCAATTTTACATATACGCTTGTTTGAAGATCAAAAATAATGAGTAGAAACTGATGTTACGCATAATGCATCAGAAACTATAAATGAGCATTTATCATACTTATAAATAAATAATAGCAGTAAGCTGAATTTAATAAAGAATTCTATAGATGTAATTATAACAATGATTAATTGTGATTAAAGCAACATTTTCAATCAAAATATAAAGCTAAATTAAATAAAATGAACCAAAAACAATGTTTAAATTTGCAAGACTTTGCAATAATTTTCTGAAATCCCAATTAAATAAAAGAAAAAAGTTAATTAGATTCAATGTATTGCAACTTCAAAACTCTCCCATTCAAATTCGATTTTTTTAAAATTTAGTCAAGTTAACAGCAAAATGAATCAGATTGGATAAAACCATGTAGTTGGATAGAAAAGTTGCATCTTAAATCATATTTTTATTTTCAGAAAATCTGAAATACCACTTTTTTCTTTGGAACTAATGTAATACTTTTTCAAACTGCTCAGCGCTATATAAAATTTTGCGAAAAACAGAATTTTATTGCTAAAAAAATCCGTAGGCATATCCTTACTGTAATATATGAATTTTTGAATTTACTTTTACTAGCTGAATCCATATATTCTACTTCAAAATCAACTGCTTTGTCTTTAGAAGATTTGGATACAACAGTATCATCTAATTTATTACCGAAGATTGAAATTTGATCAACTTTAGGTTCATCTCCAACATCAAATAATGTTCCTGTAACAAATTTAATCAACATATTTATGATGGGCTAAATCAGACTGCTCAAATCCCATCAACTAATAAATGTTCAAAGATGAAATATTTGAAAAAATAACGATTTTGATAAAGGCTTGATAATTTGTCTCATGCTATTCTAGAAATTGAAAAACAGAGTTACCATTATATCATAAAAATTTTTTACTTGAGCAATAAAAATATCATATTTTGCAAATGAGCAAAATTTTAAAAATTTAGTCATAAATATGTCGCTTGTAACGGTATTTGAAATCTCTTAAAATAAATCTTTATCTGAAATTTGATAGAAAAGTGCACAAACCAGGTTTAGACTTTTTAAAGTTGGAATTGTTGGTTCGAAGTTGCCCATTTTCAAAATGCAAAGGATACGGAAATATTGGTCTTTTTTTGTCGTTTTTACCTACACTGGCTAAAGTATCAACCTGAAAAATATGATATAATGGAAGAAAATCAAATCTAAATCAGTATAAATTGAGCAATTATTTATGAATTTTTTGTGGTATAATTAATGATTGCATAATAACTGTCTAGTACTTACAGGAACGTAAACAACGGGAACATATGAACCAGAATGGACTGGAATCATCATAACGGGAGCATTTTTTATAGTAATTTCCGAAACTACAAAATACTGAGATCAAAGTTATATATTGAAGTTATGTTTCTTGTTGTTGATGACAAGTCGAAAAAATTTTTTCTACATTAAATAGTAGTAAAAAATTTTTTGCAGTGAGAATAAAACGTCGAAATTTTAGCATTCTAACATATATGACTTGGAGTTGTTCTCTTCGATTCCACCCGAATCTTTAACCTCATATTATTTGTACGACAAAGACCACCTACATTATTTTCCAAACCATCTTTGTCACCGGTAGATGTTGCTGAAAATATCTATAAAATTTACCACTATCAGTTTAATCATCAGTTAATTTGGCAATCTTAAAAGTTTGTTGAGTATGAATTTTCACTAAACTTTTGAAAAATTTGATCAGTTTTTCACAGCTTCAAGTTAGCTGTTAAATAATTTTTTGCAAATCACCTGCTCAACAAAAATAGTTACTTATAAAAATTTAAAGTCTTTTAAAGAAACTTTTGTTTTTGTCTGCAAGCATTTTAGGCCATTTTTTTGCTATTTCTCATAGCTCAAAAAAGGTTAGCTCCAATTTAACATGAAGTTCACTTGTTCGCTAAAACAGCAAAAATAAAATACTAATATTTAGAAGTTTAGATGGACCAAAATACTTTGAATAAACTTGCAAAAATTACATACTACACTACAACAAACTTATAAAAAAGTAGTTGTGATCTGATTTATAAGACATTTCGTTTGGAAGCATGGGGATTTCTCGCAAGCGAATAATTATTGAATCATTCGCTCTTGAACATATTCCAACCAAAGAATCTTTAAATTTTTGTGGGCTATGGCACTCCATAGCTTTTTGTTCATTTACCTAAAAATACACAAATTATGCTACTTTTTGCTCTTTACTAAAAAGTTTTGATAATGATTAGATCGATTAAACTGCCGATTATAATGTTCGTACGCGATGGATAGCTGCCCATTCTGCGCCATTAGTTGAACAGATGAAGCGTATTCGGTCATTCATCTTCAAATTTTCCGTAAATGATGGAATACTATTATCAAACGATTTTGTGAATCTAAAATGAAAATAATAAACATTGCGATTAGAAGCTAAAACTCGTTAGGTTTTATTTAATTGTTTAGTTTGTTTTTGTCGCTTCTATCAAACTATTAAATCAGAAGGAAATTGCATTTATTACACAACTAAATGATCTACTACTACTGAAATTACAATATTACTGTAAATGATAAATTATTAAAATGCACAATTTCTGATTCATGCAATTTACAAAGAGTCGGTTTTTAAAGATTTAAATTAGAATCTTTTTTCGCTATCTAACTATTTAATTTGACGGAAAGCTTGCAGTGAATTTGTTGAAATCCAACTGATATTGTAAATGGCTGCCGATGTAACCGACTGCATTACAGAAAAGCACAACAGCACTATGCATATTTTGCGAATTATAATAGCTTGCAATAACATAACAGATTACAGTTTTCTCTAAAATAATTCTTTTATTAAAATGCAATGCTTTTAACAAAAAGTTAACGCAACATTATGACTAATAGTGATTTATAAGTAATAGTAATTCATAAGCAACCACTAACAACTAAGTTGTTATTTGCAATATGGCGGGTACAGCTTTGTTATCTATTTTTAGCAAGTACTGCTTTTTTGATTCTTTTTTTACCTGATAATATTCCATATTTCTTAAAATAGTATAATTCCATTCTAAAACAGTTATATAATTTAGGATTTTTTTGACAAATTACAATTTTATCATTGATTCTTACTAAATTTTTCCTCTTAAGAATTAATCTTAATTTTTGATACAATTTATGAAAGGTAAAAATGATCAAAATCATTTCAAAAATTGCTGTAAAAAGCAATGAAAGTTGAGCGACAAATTTTATCAAAAAAAATTTAGGCAAACAAAAAATTCCTGCTATAAAACATTCATACATAAAACTGAAACAAAGTTTTATTGGAAACAATGCAAAAAGAATTAGTTAGTTACTGTATAAGTTGGCAGATAAGCTGATATTCGCATTCATCAATACAAACATGACATACAATGTGCACTTCAGCGCTCTTTCTTATCGTTACTATTTTGCGATGACATTTCAAATTAAGTTTTCACTTGCCATAAATGAATGCAGTATTTAATATTCTTAACTGAATATAATTATTTATCAAATAGTCAAAAATATAATTATTTATTTGATAAAAAAATATAATTATTTATTTGATAAATAATTATATTTTTGACTGCCTTTTTATAGTTAATCACGAACAGAACTGCAAGAAAGCAGTCAAGTTTTATCGGTTTTGCACATAATAATTGTTGAAATTAATTCTGTTAAATTAATAATAATGATAAAACACAATGTGCTGTTAATTATTTCTAAGTGTATCAAAAATAAGAATTTTTATTTAACTTCATTCTTGATTGATTATTTTCGCCAAAATTAAGATAGATTATAAAACTTTTTTGCAGATTAAGAATAAATTTACCATAGTAAAAAAAAATACAGAAAATAAGGTTAAACATAAACTAAGACAAATTCAATTTGCTAGAAAATTTTCGAAGAAAATAATTCATTAAAGCATTCTTTTTTTTGGCAAAAACAATATAAACAGAAAAATTGAGCATATTTAGAAAAGCAGTAATATATTTGATTTTTAGGAAAGATAATATCCTGCCTGACCAAGCAATAAATATGGATAAATTTCTTGAAAATTTTCAGAAACCACACATACAAAATATTGATAAAGTCTTCTTAATTCTAGCATTGATAATTTGATAGCAAACTTGCTGATGAAACAAAAAATGTGATTGTCTTCTCCTTTTAGTGTTAAATTCGTTTTTCATTTATATATAAATTAGAATTTATTTGCCTTCACAATAGTACTAAAAAACAACTCAAATTATAGATCTGTTTAATTTAAATGGATCTAAAAGTTATCAAAATTTATGAATCCAAAAAGAGATAAGCGTTTTTATTTTATATACAATAGTAATATCAAATGAATGAGGTCAATTTTTAACGTACTTTATTTCTGTACGTCAGAAGCAGCCGAAAAAAAAGCCGAAAGTTTAGGAATCGGTTGGAAATTGATGGGCCGAGACATACAGGCTTTTTAACTCTGTATATTACCAGTTGAGGGAAGAAATAAATGATTGTGCAGATGTTTCAGGTGGTGAATAAGTAGTACTCGTGTATAAGATTTAAAAATTTTGTATTTATATTTGCAAAAAACTGTCAGAATTTTGTGACATTGTTTTTTTAGTAAGGGAAATTTTTTTAAATGTTATGAGCTTTGAGTGAAATAAAATTGGTAAAAACATGCAACAAATCTAAACCCATGAATGAAACAATATTATTATTAATAAAGTTCAAAATAAAGATAAAAAAATTAGTATTGCTGGAATTATCACTACTAAACAATAATTGGGCAAATTCTTACACTTTACAACCTTACCTAAATATTGATTTAGCTTGGTTATACATGAAAAATGAATAAAAAAACCTTACTCATAAATTATTATCGTTAATTAACGACAAAAAGAAATAAAATCAGCTATAAGAAGTAGATAAATCCCATTCATTTATTGCCCACAATAACTAATTAATCTATTTATTGCAAGTGAAATTTCAACAACGTTCCTTCCTACTCATTTTTTACCTATAAATTTCATTCAGTTAGCAAACAGTCTTCTTCAGCAATATTTGAAAGTCAAAATATCCTAAACTCAGTCATGAATTGTTTACAGCACTGAAGGCGTTTTATTTCTGGTTTATGTGAAGTTATAAAAAGCAATCTCGTTTAATACATATTAATGATATCTTGACTAAAAATTAAAAAATAAGCATCACAGAACTAAATGATAGAAGAAATGAGAATTCAAAGACAATTACTGATAGTAAGATATAGATCACACTCTTATTTCTGTGAGTAGATCACATATGTACATATATTTAACCTCTACACCATTAACAAATTACAGTATGCACCTAGCTAAACGGTGACCAGTACTCAAAGCCATCTGTTTGAGTCAAAAGTTATAAACTTCGACCTGACAGATAAAGTCAGGAAAAAACGAACATCAACTACTACCAGTAAACGTTGGGTTTAGATTTTTTACATTTAAAAATTTTCTTACGACATGAACAAACATTGCTACTTTTCAGACCTTAACTTCGTATTTAAAAAATATATAATACATCCTTTTAGCTACACAAATGAAAGACCATCTCTAAGATGAAAAGTTCAACCAATTCATTTTGGTTGAAATTGCCTTTCAAATATTTTGTATATAGTACTAGCGCCCAAGGATTCACTAGTAAGCTAGATCGCAGTAGAGTTGATGGTTAGATATAATTTATATTCCCCAATAAGTCATCAATCTTCACTCATTAAATCAACGGAAACTAGCTGAGATGCACTCGATACATGTAATAACACAATCCTGACTTTTTTATTTAACCAAAATGCCATCCGGAAATTACAATAAGAATCGAGTGGCGAGATCGAACCACATGTTGAGATGTCGTCAATCTTCACTTTCTAATTGAAGGAATCTCTAAAACAAAGAATCGAAAAACAGCAATCAAAAACTGGACAGGATGTGGACTATTCGAAGCTTCCGCTTTTCTAGTACAATTAATCGAAACATTCAAAAATATATTTATATATTTTTGAATGTTTCGATTATATTTACTCTTTAACGCCTAGTTCTCACTTTGTTTTTTGTTAATCCTTTCTTCCGCAAAAATATCAAAATATTTATTCCCATTCTCATTTGAAAGAAATAATGAAATCTCTTTCGATTTTCAGTTATTATAAATAAAAACTAATACAATTAAATCATTAGCGCTCATTTATCGAACAATTTTTAAAACGACTTTAGATCAAACAAACAAAAAAACATCTACCTTTCTTCCTACATTTTTGTATTTCTGAGAGAGCGAAATAAATAATTCAGTCAGAATTTTTTTCAGATACTGTAATTTTTTAAATCAATTCATGACTTTTTTAACTGTTCTTACAATCACTGTTTTTACCATAAACAACGATCAAGATGTAATACATGAGAAATGTAGCAAAAAGTAATGGCGTAGTGAGCTGCGTAATGTGATCCAATCGTTGAGAGAATCGAATAAGATGCCTTTCCTTGGTCCGAAAACTCTCTCGATCGAATTCATTAGCAGCTTTTAAACGTCGTTTTTCCTAAATTCAGAAAATTAGACTTGAAAGGAATTTTTGAGATTAATATGACATTCTCTTTTTCCGTTTTATAACTGATATTTCATCTCCTTTTTGCTCATTACTTGGTATGTCAGAAGGAAAAAACCCAGACCGACGACTGTAGAAGTAAAACAGTAAAGAATATGATAAAAACCGTCAACGAAGCTATTACCATGAACAAATAAAGCTTAAACATATAAAAAGTAAAAAAGTTTCTAACATGAAACTACTACTCCCTGAATTATCACTAGAAAATCATCGATATTTTAAAAATTTTTATAAAAAATAGCTTTTTTAATTACACTTTTTCTAACTAATATTCATTAAACCTAGAGTTCAAAAAATTTAAAATATAAAAAAGGACCATGACTCTCGTAGCTCTTATGAGGGCCAGCACAGCGACAGATTCTAGCAAAGAAAGCACAGTGAACACCTTCATTGCTCGAAACCATACATCAATTGAAGTTACATAACTAATATGAATATGCTCTTCTCCTCTTTCCATTTGCACTAGTGTCAAAAGAACCTAATATGACCAATCGCTAATTTTATAAGCATTTCGTCATTGAGAAGGATACTAATACGACAACAAACATTTCTATTTATGCAGCGAAAATTCTCTGAATGTGCTGATTCCTATACTACACATGTAATCCATTTTTTAATTACAAAATTTTAGTGAAAGAAAGAGTACTTACAGAAATTGGTGTGATTATTCTCACTTCCTCATAATTATACGGTACAAAGGGAGCAATCCAAGCGAAAAATACAGCCAGAGCACTGGGTATATATTTTTCTACTATAAATCGAGCACCATTTCGTTCGAGTTTGAAGGTGACAGAAAGACAAGATGAAGGTACTGAAAAGTAAAAATTATTTTTGCGAAACCACAGATTTTTATGAGCTATTTAAATTCAAATTAGATGAGACTCAACACATGAAAACAACAAATATTTCCATGGCACACATTTTGAACCTACCGAGTTATCGCATGAATTAATCAATAAAAATGGAAGAAACTTAAGAATTCATACATAATTTCCCATATATAATACAATGGTTGGTGTGGATGGATATAATGTTAAAATCTGGTAGCTGGTTTTCTGATGTCAAATATACTGAATTTGAAGATAGCCAAGAAAACCGAACACTTGATGCTTTGTGCGACACTTTAAAGTATTAATAATTATAATTCGTTATTAAACTAATGATATATATTCAAAGCCACACTATAAAATAACTGAAAGAAAAATGATATAAAAATTATTTGCTGAAAAAAAGTGATGATGTAAACCACGTAATTTCCAATATAATGAATTTATTTCCGGTGCGAAATTAAATGCATAAGTTGAAAATTGAAAGTGCAAGAAAACACACGTGAACTTAACATAAGTTGGCACTGTTGAACGTCATGCGGAAAGCGACAAAAAGCCATATAACACGATGGTTGCAGTGTTATTCAACAATGGAAAAATACAATTTGTTAACAATACTCAAGTACAACCAAAAAATAAATAAATTTTAAACTGATAACATGAAAGAAAATGTCTGTCTATATGTCCACCATTTTCAAATTCGGACACAGTCCCAGTTAAAGCAACTCTTTCACTTGTTGGAGAGACTCTAAAAAGTGCTTCTTTGAGAAGTGACAAGTTTTGCATTACCTCATTGTATAAACCACCAAGCCTTGTGGGCTGATTAGCATTCGGAAATTCGGAAAGGAAACATGATGGAAATGCGAATGTTTCGAGTTTACAAAGTAAGGGTCCGGCTTCCAAATTCGATCTAAAATGCTTTTTTCCCATATTCTTATCCATTTTGTGTAATTATTCATCAGCCGCGAATCAAACCAGATCATTTGCACTTCAAGATCTAAAACAAATTGACTCACATGTAATTAAAAAATTCTCACTTACTGAATTATACGCGAAAAATTGATTTTTTCCAAATGATATTTATCATTAACGCATCCTAATGTAACGAAAAATATTTCTCCAGACTTTAAATGAAAAAAAAATTACAATTATAATACCAATAGAATAGTCCATATTTTTTGAATCAAAATTGGCCAAATGAGCAATTTTCAGCGCAAAATGAACATCTACCGGCAAGCCTAAACTTTTTAAAATAATTTTTGAAATATAAGTGTTTTCTGAAACCTCGAAAATTTTAAAAACCGGCCTGAGAATGCTAAAGGTACACTAGTATTGTCGTAATTAACAGACCGCAGAACTGGGAGAACGTAGCTGCTTCCATAATGACTTAATACAAAGATATAAGGAAACGTTGTTGTTCTCTGAATTTTCAAAATAACTAAAATCAATGCTTTAAATTTAAAAATATTTGGCAATGCAAAACTAAATTTTAATTTTAAGTCTCAATATATTCAGACAATTGGTACTTTACATTTACGAAAAATAGAAAGTACAACAACACAACTCGAAAACTGGATTTTTTACTGTACTTTCAGTCTCAACAGAAATCGAAAATTTAGCCAAAACTTTTTATTGAACTTTGCTATATTGAAGATCAGTATCATAAAATTTAGCAATGACATAGCAAATATTTGGTAAATGCTGAAGGAAATTACAGTTACTAAAATACTGAGAGTAAAATTTCACAAAATCACTTGTCGCAAACTCCAGAGCAATCATCTGAATCACTCAAGCTTGGTAGCAAATTCAGGATCATTATTTCATTTTCAATACTGACACTGATATTGGCATGGCGAACCGATGAATCAGTCAAATGATTAGAATTAAGATAAGTAAAATCCATTTTTGTGCTTCTATCTACAAATATAACTTCGCTTCCTAAAAAGATGAGAAAACAACCAAATGACAGATTGATGGATTGAAACAACGCGTTATTTACTCCCGAAATTGAAAGGATGATTTTCTGTTTCATTTTAGATAAAAATCCTTAGTTGATAAAAATCTTTACAAGCATTAATGTCTATCTCGTAATAGTTCCTAGCACTCACATATCCTCTCACAATATGATATACTGTATACAGAACATATCTAAGTCAAATTTACCCGGTACAACACCACTAAATTAAAAAAAGTGTAAAACGAAAGATTCACCCGATTGCCAATCATTACTTGCTTCGACAATAAATTCTTTAGAATCAGGAGAAGCTAGCAATTCAGTTTCATCCAGATCTCTAAGGAAACTTTCATATCGTCCACCACCTAAGTTCCAAATACATGAAGTGGTCTGCTGAGATGACCATACATACTTAATAAATCACTAGTCATGAACTCTCCAAAAGATACTTACCTCCACTGACAAAAAAACCAAGGAACAATAACGATAACATGAAGAATCTCATGTCTGAAATGTGCAAATGAAAGTGGCAATACATCAATCTTGAAGCCATAAGAGAATGACCTCCGTCAAAAATCCCTGCTGTGATTCATAGATATGCTTTTAGCTTTACAAAAGGATCCTGACATAGAAAACTTCATTTGTTGGGAGTCGTTAAATTCATGTATTAATCCCTTTATTTCACAACAAAAAATACATTTTTTGAGGGTATATAAATGAATATACAGAGAAAGTATGTTTTCAATGTCCTGTTATAATTCAATATATAGAAAAATACAATACTTTTCAAGAATAATCCCAAATGTGAGTTCAATTGCAGCAAACCAACACATACTTCCATACTTCCTAAGTAGGATAAATACTATGTAATTCAATTGAAAGAAAAGTGAAGTGCTGATCAGAAAAAAACTGAAATCACAATGTTAGATGCAAGTAAAGTTATTACCCTGAAAAACATGTTTAGGATAGAAAGGTAATTTACCATCATATGAAAGACATGACAAAAAAAATTAAAGAAAACCAGATAAAATTCTCATCAAAATTCCATAAGACACTCAGAATACCTCGCTATTACCAAATGAGGTTAAAGAAAAGAAAAACAGGAACCCGTGACAAACCTGAAAATAAATTGGAGTCACCGTTAATATGTAATGCAAACAATTTTTGAAGACCCCATAAAGAGTAAATAGTGAAATCAGGGGGCTTGCAGTAAACAACTCTAAATTGAAACTGAACAAAATTACTGATCAGAATAGGTTCAAAGACACAATGCACTGCAAATAATATACTGCTAGCCCCTTTTTGAATAACAGGAAGCCATAAATATGAGTTGCAGAAAAAATATGCTTGGAAATAAATTATGATGGAAAAAAATTTTGTCCCGAAACCCCCAAACCAGCACCAGCCAAGCGAAATATTTGAGCAAGACGAAGCTGATCAAGGGGTGGCCGGTGACGATCGAACTTGAATGCAGTGCATGAATGATTGTGAGAAAAATATAAAGGGGCCTCATAAACTGGATTCCTCAAACGTTTATCAATAGGGATTATATGACCCTCTGTTGTAAATAGAATGCGCTCTTCATTACGATTGACAGCATTATCCACATCGAACAACTGCAAAAATTCTATCTTTTATCATCACGATCATATGAATTTGTTGGAAGTAATAAGAATAAACGTAATTATGTGTTCATTACCATAACAAACTCGTAATAAATACTAACAGCAATTAGAGGGTAAACTTACAAGATACAAATACTTCACAGTTTCTGACAAAAAAAATGATTCCATCCGATCTTCTAATGATTTGTCCACAACATTGTGCACCGTCGCGTACCCACACTTCACCCTTGCAAACGTATTAATAGATTTCAAAATATCAAAACCAACACGAAGATAAAATGGATTTTGAGTTGCGCGATATAGCATATATGTCGACTCTGCGAGCTCCGGTCTTAAGGGATAGAAATAAACGTCGGGAACTCTAAAATAATGAGACATCCATTTTACATTAAAAAGGCAAGAATTATGAAACGGCACAAATTTCAGAAAGCTTTAGATAAGAACTTACTTCAAGAGCCAGTTAAATCGTTCAGGAAGAGCATCATATTTCTTCCATAATGAATAATATATAGCATGAATGCAAACAGCTTCATCAATATCACCATTCAATACCTGTACAGCAGCAAAACTAGCCTGCAAATTAGAAAATGAAATATTCTATATCAAACTTTAAGCAGAGTGAAGATCATAAACCAAATATTTCCCCGATAATGCAAATAAAATGAAACGCAGATTTCGAAAAAACCTGCAAAGCATCAATCCAGGTATTTTCTAGCGAACCATCTCTCATATCAACATTTACATACATCGGTGTTTCTCCCTCGCCTAAAACACAATGATCACGTCCTCGTCGTAGCTGCCTTATTATTAGTGCATATGCTTCCTGCATTGACTTCTGATCATTATCTTAGAGATGTTTAATTATGTAATTTGAATTTAACAGATCTTATTTTCTAGATCACTAACGATCATGATATGCATAAAAATGAAGAATCTCTCTATCTTACACAAAATCAAAACAGTGATAGAAGTGCTTTCGAAATTTAATTATTGTTCAGCTTTAAAAGGTAATCAAGTGACTGAAGCACGAATAGCTATGAGGGTAGAATGTTCGGAATTATGTTTTTATAAAAGAAAACTATAAAATACCTCGAACATTTTTAAGTCAACATCAGCACCAAATAATACGAAAGCTTTGAGGAGATATTCATAAAATGAATCAAGGCCTGCACCAAGTCCACTAATAACGCCTTTCCATTCGCCTGTTTGTATATTCACAACATTGCCTAAATAGATTTTTCGCTGGAAATTAGAATAAATAAAAAACTCATATATATATATATATATATTGATTGATATATATATATATATATACCTAA